GGAGGGGGTCCCCGCATTCCGGGCAGGCGGTGCTAGGGGAGCGTCCGATCCTGGCGGAATAGGACGCCAGGGAGCTGCAGTATCCCGAGCGGAGCTGGGATAACGCTGAGTGGTAGGGGCAAGGGAGTGAGGTCTCCGCAGAAGCAATCGGCGGCGGCGGGGCAGCAAGGACAGCATTTATGGCGGCAGTCGCTGCCATGCGGGAGGTGATCTCCCTGCGGAGAGGCCGCTTGGCTTCTCCGTATGTCCCAGCAGGCAGGATACCATTTGTCAAGAGTGGTGTGACAAGATGGCCGAACCTTGACTGTATCAAGGCTTTCATAGGGCGGTCACCCAGAGGGGCAGAGACCATGCAAAAGGAGGCGTGGGAGGACTGGAGGGCGCTGGCGAGGAACTGGGCGCAGGCCAGGTCCAGGTGCTCGGGCAAAGGGAGGACGCTGGTCTCCTGGTGCAGATGGGAGATCAGGGCCATTTTGAGGCAGCCGGTGGTTAGTCTCAATGCGGTATTCTGTATGGTCTGCAGGCTGGCAACTGCTGTACGGGAGGCAACAGGGTACCAGATGGGGGCCGCGTAGTTGAGAATTGGGCACGTGATGGCACGGTAGGTGGCAACTATGTCCTCCTTGGAGAAGCCCCAGTTGGTGCCAGCAAGGGCTTTTAATATGCAAAGAGAACCCGTCGCTTTCGTGGCTATGGCTCTTGCATGCGGGGAGAAAGTGAAGTGTGTATCCCAGGTGACGCCTAGGATTTTGGGGGTTTTGTCCAGTGGGATGATGCCATTGCAGATGGTGGCAGCTGGGTGGTAACTGGATTGGTGCGTATCTGGGGTGAAGAGCGTGACCGAGGACTTGCCAGGAGCCAATGCCAATTTCTTGACTGCTGACCAGTCAGAGACGTTATGAAGGAGCGAGGCAAGCTCAGCCTCCGCATTGTCGAGTCTCGGGGACGACACAAAAATGGTAAGGTTGTCCGGGTATGAGGCAATATTGGTGGTAGGTACTGGGATGTCTGAAATGAAGTGATTAAAGAGGGCTGGCGAGATCACCGAGCCCTGGGGAACGCCTGAGTGGATAGCTCTGCAAGGCGATTGGGTCCGGAAAAGGACCGGACATGGGGTAAGACGGGACCACTAAATGATCCTGTTTTACCACACAAGTGGTCCAATCTTACCCCACAAATGGTCCTGTCTTACCCCACAAATGGTCCTCTATCACCCTACAGTTTATCAAAAATAGTTTTTAAATGAATATATTATTGTGTAGTACTACATGGAGTATTTTGCTCAAAATTTTTATCTTTTGCTAAAACTTCATTATAACTTGTTAGCTTTTTTAATTAGAGAAATTTAGTGCACTATTTTAAATTGCATCAAAGGGATATAGAAAATACAGATGTCTATTCCCATTAGTGAGCTGCAGAACTATGTGCAAGATTGGCTGGGGGAAAAATCATTGTGTGAAACATGAAAAATAATTATGATCACAACTCTGTGAGAGGGCATGAGCTATGTTTGAAGAAGTGCACCACAAATGCAGTTAGCAAGAAAACACATGATGTCTGATACTCAAGTTATTATCCATTGGATTTATTATCAATTTGATAAATTTTTCAGACAATGACACTAATGGAATGTACTTGAAGCATTTAGCAGTGCTCTACAATGAACCAAAGCCAAACCACTATTACTATGCTTAACAAAGTTTTCCCGTGACAAAAACTTCAATGTGACTGATATTAGAGTTGACTTCCCACAACACAAGACAGTAACAAGTGGTTCTTTAATCAAATAATGTGTTTCTAGATGAATAATATTGAATATCAGATTTGTACTTTTATTAAAAACCTTGTAACATAAGAATTACTAGTCGGTCCTTTCTTACCCCAGCCTGGTCCCATCTTACCCCAATGGGGTAAGATGGGACCAGCTCACTTTTTTTAATCTGTACAGAAAACTATGTTGTATGCAAAAAGTTTGAGTTGTAGCTTAGAAGCCCATTGCATAACTACACCTTGTGATAGGTTTAGGGTTTCTTAGTTATTCATGGTATAGATGCTACAGGCTTGTTAGTGATTTCAGTCCTGTCTTACCCCATCTGACTACATTACCGGTTATGCTATTACTGGTCATTTTTATTACCGGTCATTTTATTACCGGTTATTGCTATTACTGGTTATGGCTATTACTGGTCATTGTTATTACCGTTTAATGTTATATACCAGTTAATGCTCATCATGGTTGAACTACCATCAAATCAATGCCACTAACAGTAAAAAGTACATAGCAACTTAGTTATGTGTCATTGAGGATTGATCGATAATTAGTAGGGTAAAAGCAGTATATTCCAACAAATTAAGGACGTAGCAAGAAATGAATGGCTATAAAAATATCACCGTATGCGCAACTGGAGTTCTGATTGGTTTACGTCACTCTCAAAACACCACACTACGTGCCAGCAACAATGAAACGTCACAAACTGTTGCCATATTTATTTAAACGCCTTTTGAATTCAAACCTACAAAATCCCTGAATTCCGACGCTGTGCGTGACTAAATTAGGCATATTGTGAGACTAATTTTGACAGCACTTCAAACTCTATGAATTTGTAATTCTGATGCCCTGTGTGAGCTGTATCGGTTATTATAATTGAAATATGACATAGCTCTGAACGAGCTTAATTAAAATATTTAAATTTTTTAATTAAGCTTTTAATTAAGAGCTATTAAGCTTTTAGTTAAGACAATTTTAATATTTGGACACAGCTCGGAACAAGCTGTGTGTGTCTAATTCCAAGCTGTGTCGGAATTAGTTTTCATGTGTCTAAAACCGTCGCTTAACTTAATCATCTATTAATTTATTTACCACTTGAAATCAGCAAATACAAGTATACTTAAAGGATTCCTAATATATTCACAGACTTATTTAAAAGTCTCAAACCATAATATTCTTTCTACACAAACAGTTTATCACTATTTGGTAAATTGGTAGAGCAAGGTCAACTATCAAGTTTCAACTTTGACACATTTTTCGATGTTCTCAATGGGTGATGTGCACTCACTGCACTGTCTCTCTTTGGATCTCAACATTTTCCCATCAGATGGCCCAGACCTAGTGTTTTGGCAATAGTATGATGTCACTATTTCAACCATCAACCAATATGTGTAACTAAGACAAAGTTGCCTATTACTTGAGGTTACCTGCCTACATCCACAAACCTGACCAAAAAATTTTTTGTCATTAGACAGAGCTTATTTCCCAAACAGGGTTAACTATTTTGTGACCCTTCTTTACATAGGTTTTCTTTAAAAATTAGCCAGGAATTCATTATTTGCAGAAGAGGGTTGCCACAAACACTGAAATGACAGGCAATGATTGTTCTAACATATTCTTTTGTCAAATTGAATTCAGTGCAATTAGAATGCATGCCATAGGCTAGTCCTTTCTTACCGCATGAAGGCTGCGATCCTGTCTTACCCCATTTGACTATACCGCAATAATATCACTGGAAAGATACAGGCTGCTGGTGGAATCTGGATGGTCAAACACTGTCAAAGACTTAAGTCTTAAAGTGCATGATACATTCTCATTATCAGTAAAAATATAGAAGATTTTTGACATCTCTAATCAGGGTTTGCACCATTTGTACTGGTCACAGAAAACCTGGAATACCATGGAATTTTATTTTTCATTTTCCAGGCCTGGAAAGTCATTGGATTTCATTTCAGGTCATGGAAAGTCATGGAACTTGAAAATAAAAGAAAAAAAGAAGTGTTTTTTCTGTGTTGTGTGTGTTGTGCAGTATCTTGTTTCCAGTGTTCTGATTGGCATTTGGCACAGTCCTTTGTTTCTTTTGTTCTGATTGGTTCTTCAATTAGTTGCATTCGACAACTTTTTGATCTGCAGTGGCAGTGTTCCATCTTCAGCACAACATTTCTGCATCAGCACCACCATGCCTGGAAAGTGTAAATTTCATAACTTGTTGTTGAGAATAGAAGCTTATTGTGACTGGCTTGCTCACCTCCATCCTGGGTATGGACTCAACTCACAGTTTCAAGCTTTTTCAACTTCTGATCAACTGAACACTTTTTGGTATGCCATGATACCATTCTGTCAAAGAGCGCCTACAGGCTACAAGAAGCTCTGGAATGTAGTGCAGATGCTCATGCTCCTGTCTGATGGCCAAGCCATGGTTGAAAGAGGGTTTTTGTTCAACAAGGAAATCATGATAGTGATGATACACAACATGAAAGAACAAACAGTGGTTGCCCTGCATGCTGTGGTTGATCACATTGCACATGTTGGTCACCTGGACAAGATGACCATCACCAAGAAGATGCTGCTTTCAGCTGTCAGTGCCAAAATAGCCTACAATAATTATTTGGCAGAAGAGAAAAAGCAGAATGTGAAGGCCCAGAAAACCCAGAAGAGGAAGGCTCTGTTGGATGAGCTAGATTAACTGAAAAAGACAAAAAAGGCTTATGGAAGAGGGCACCAAGGCACTTGAGCAAGCAGTAGATGAATATGCAGAAGCAATGGAGAGAAAGGCGGAACTGAAATTATTGCAAAGTTCAATGCCAGGAGGCAATCTTTGAAAACAAAGCAACAGGAGCTAGACACTCTTGAACCAAACTTTAAAGAAAAAGTTGATGAAATGGCTGCCAACTGAATGTTAGGGTAGTTGTGTTGGGTGTTCTGAACTGTATTGATATTATGATGTACAATCTTGTGTGCATTACTCAATATTTGTTGTGATTTGACACTATTGAATTCATAATAATACCAGTGTGGGGTTGATTTTCAGATTTGTGTCATTTTTGTTCCTTTTGTCTGCCTGCTCTATGAATTTACACGTTTGCTATTTATCAACTGTAGGAGATGATAGAATATGCATGGTTAGTCTTTCATTCATGCTAAACCTGTTGTATATGAGTCTTGGAAAATTATATTGGTGGTCATGGAAAAGTCTGAATACTAGTACATTTTTTTTCTGAATACTAGTACAAACCCTGTCTAATATTTTTTTTTTCCAGATTAGAGTAGAGGAAATTGCCACAGATGACAACGTGACAGGACCTTGTGCAACTGTGAACAGCGGAGCACTCGGCCAAGTTCTATATATTGGAAGATTACATGCAAGCAACCATATGACATTTCTGACTTCCAGTTAGGTTTAGTATTTTTATTGCCAAATTATTAATATTAATTACAAGTGATTTCTTGTCAACTGTCAAGTTTGTATTTTTCAAAGCAATGCAATGCCTATGGCAACCCAAAATAAGATTGCTGCTGGAAGTCTGTTGACTGATGAAACCTCAGAATTTGTTGTTCTATTTACACCTCATTTACTTAGGGTGGATGTTGAGGCTGTAGAAAATGAACTCAGCAACATTATTGGTTGTGAAGGTATGTAGTGTACAATTTGTGATATTTTTTGTTACATTTATTTTTTTATTCATCTTAACAGCATGGCTGATTTTGTGTTAATATAAACCTTTTAATCTCAATGAATTCATGTGTGACCACTGATCAATGACCATAAGTAAACTATCATAGCATTCATAGGTTAATATTTTCATTAATAAGTGGCAACTCACTTATAAATAAATTACAAAGCTGAAAGTGCAGTTACTCAAACACCTCTGGAGATTTGACTTATGTCATTGAATTTGACAGTAGGATAAATAGGATTATTAGGTATATAAGTACTTGACGATTTATTTGAATTACTGTATATTGAATAATGATGAGAGAAATTTCAAAAAACATTATTGATAAAGACCAATTTGAAAATTTGTCTAGGATTATGAATGTTTCCATCTGAAGTTTAATTTAAAAAAGGGTAATTTCTTCAAACATAGATTGTGTTTTAATGGCCTAACAAGCAGGGTTGGCGATTTTTTTTTTATTTTTTTTAAAAAATCAAAAAAATAAAAAATCAATGATTTATTTGATTTTTTCATGATTTTTTTGATTTTTTCAGCTTTTTTGTCTTTTTGAAGTGTCATTTTTTATGTTGCAATTAGCCTACTAACAATAACAGTATATGGATCATAATGGATGGATAAAAAGGGCACTTATTGCCTTCAATAATGGCCAACAGGCCAAGGTGGTGTTTACCACTTAGGGATTTTTGGGTAAATGATTATTGAAAATTCTATTCATTAGCTTTATAAAGTTTGTATGGAGCAAGGTAATGAGCTAAATATTGACCATTTAACTGGCTTCAATATACAAAAACACTTCAGGAATGCAGATCTTCTAAACATTGAAGAGTCACACAACAGATAGGTAGCTGATAGCACAGTGCACAGCACTATCAATAGATCTACCAGTTTTATGTCCTATAAATCTACCAGACTCTACCCTCTATACACACCGACTAGTAGTGACTGTAGCTGATAGCACAGTGCACAGCACTATCAATAGATCTACCAGTTTTATGTCCTATAAATCTACCAGACTCTACCCTCTATACACACTGACCAGTAGTGACTGAGTGACTGACTGCACTGTTCCCATTTAATTCAGACCAATAAACCAATACTAAACATAAACTGAACGATAACCAAACAAACCTCATACAACTTGAAATGAGACTTAAGTTATGAGAAAAGCTAACATTGTTTGAAATAAACGTGTGCACAAATCAAATATTTTATATCTATTCACTGCATTTAATTATTTTTATAAATAGTCTTATAATTGTAATTGTTTTGTTTCTAGTTTTAAATTCACATATTTAAAGAATGAAATTAAATATTTTAATTAGAATACTCGTATTATGGTGGAAAATCTTTTTAATTGCCTAAAAGGTCAGTACAATCTCAACCTCTCAATATACAGGGTGGGGCAGAGCCAATTGAGCAGTTTTGAGGTAAAATAAAAGAGTAATGGAGGTACATAAAGAAGAAACTTTATTATCCTAGAGGTTAGCATAACATACCATTTAGAATACCGTACTTATGTTTTGAAAACAATATCTGGAAGATGGGGGGGGGGCTGTTAGCTGCAACACACTGTTGGAGTCGTTCTCAGAGGAGGGAGTAACCCTAACAGTGAATTCCAATTGCTATGCAGCAATGTTGCAAAATTTCTTGCAGCCCATGATGGAAAACATTGTTGAAAATGAAGCATTGGGAGACGTGTGGTTTCAGCAGGATGGGGCTACAGCTCACATAGCCCGAATGTCACTCAAAGTTTTGAAATGCATGTTCCCAGACTCTGAGGGGCGATTTACAGTGACCTGCGAGGTCACCCGATCTGAGCATTTGCGATTTCTTTCTTTGGGGACATCTAAAAGAAAGGGTGTTCAAAAGTCGCCCTCACACCCTACCACAGCTAAGGGAATGGATTATTGCAGCAGAGGCTATGGCCATACCTCGCCATATGTGTGAACATGCTGTAGAAAACTTCCGAGAACAACTCCAAAAGTGTGATGCAGCTAACAAACCCCATCTTCCTGATATTGTTTTCAAAACGTAAGAATTTTAAATGGTATGTTATGCTAATCTTGAGGAAAATAAATTTTCTTCTTTATGTAGGTACCTCCATTACTCTTTTATTTTGCATCAAAACTGTTCAATCAGTCCTGCCCCACCCTGTATAAGCTAGCTAACACATTTAAATTGTATATTGTTATCAATATACATATGACAAATAGTCAAATAGGTAAAGACTACTTATTGCCTTATAAGAATTAGCTAAGCTGCTAGCTACATACAATGTATTGCACACTTGATGCCTCTGTACCAAAAACATTCAATTTATTGGAACCTAATACACACTAAAGGCAACAAGTTTATATACCAATTTGTCATTCATAGTACATTTATACTAAACCATGAATAACAATACCTCAATATAAATTGAAGACTGCCACTCAATATATTTAATTATATGAAAAAATCAAAAAAATAAAAAAAAAATAAAAAAAATAAAAAAAATCATGATTTTTTTATAAAAAAATCAAGTGATTTAATCACATGATTTAATCATGTTGATTTAATCACTGCCAACCCTGCTAACAAGCTTAAATTGTTATCATTTACAAACTTTTTTTCAGGAATTATTCGTGCAGTAAGCAGTAACTGGCTCAGTGATAACCTGGACTTGTGCATGAAAACGCCTAAGGTTTTGTCAGCTGCCAGCCCTCTCAGTCGCAGCAAGAAAACGGAAATTGCTCATCCAGATGAAAGTGGAGAGACGGAAATTGCTCATCCAGATGAAAGTGGAGAGGATAAAAGTTCTCCAGCTGAAGTAAAGAGATCTGTTGCTGTGTATGAGGCAGTGGTGGGAATGTGCCGAAAAGCTTGCCTTTTGCATCCAAGAGCCACTCTGCTGTCTCTCAAGGAACAGCAGCAAGCATTACTGCTTTGCTTAGCCAGGCGCAACAAAGAGGTCATTTGACTTAACAATGAATTGTACCATATATAATCTTAATTTACTTAATTTGTATAATTTTAATTAGAAAATTATCAAGCATTAAAGTAATTGTCATGATTAAACAAGATGATTCCAGGTGCTCATGTTAGAATTTCATGCTCATATATGTTGAAAATTTTATTAGGTGGACCTCAATACCTAAAACGGGTTTGTTTTCTCATTATCCTGTCATTTTTCAGGCCAACAAAGATTTTGGAGCAGACGCCAGTGACTTCCAAGCCGCATGGAATGTTTTGAAGAAAGAAGCTCGTGAGCAGCTCACTTGTGGAAGGACTGTAGTGAAGCTCAGGTCAGGTCTTCACCATGTTCACCTTCTATGTTCAGTTAACTTATTACTTTTCACAGTTAATTTTAATGTTTAATAATTTTGTGTAAACATATAAATTGCTTTACATTAAATTATTACTGAACATTTGAGATAATACCTGGACTTGATGCTATGATTCGGTGAGCTCACAATTATTTCTCTTGTTCTTAGTGAAAACATGGATCCTGCTCTGCAAGATCTGTATGAGCTAGTGTCAAGTTATAAGGCATTCATAAGCAGCTGCAACTACCTGGACTTTCTCAGCCTGGCCCACATCTTCTCCACAGCCTTAGGAGCAGCTAACAATCCAATACACCGTGTACTATCATCAAAAGTAAGACTACTTCGCTCCGTTTATATTCGGAAATACATGTTATTGCTTTATTACCCTTCTATCATACCTAACCTAACCTAATCATCATGTTATTTGTAGTACCTAATTTCATTTTTTGTACATTTTTTTATATATTTAATATGGTTAATAGTATAACTGTGCAATAAGTACCTACTTTACCTACTTTATGGTTGTTCTGATAGCGTTATTCATTAAATACCGTAATGAATTGAACAAACAGCTCAGGTTTGAATAATTTAGGATAAGATTTTATCTCTGGTAAAAATTGTGTGATCTGCCTCTTGGTATCTTTTAGTTTAACTCCTGTTAGCTTGTTAGTTATCTGTTCCAATTGTAACACATCGTAGTGAAGCGGTCATTAAGTAATCCCAAGTACTAAGATGTATTTATTGTCCTGCTGTTTGGCCTATGTGCTTCAGATTCAAGCGTGTTGCACATATCCTTTCTTTCAATTGTACTACTGGAGGCTTGTGTAGCTTTATATATTTGTTCTGAAAATACCAACTGTTACCCGCGCAACTCACACGCGCCGGCTTGGTCCCGGCAGTATAAACAAAGATGGCTTCAGCCATTTTTCAACACCAATTGAAACGAGTGTTCGTATATTTGTGCATGCTGCAAAAGGTGTACTGAACTACCTCGGTGCAGTCTCTGTTTCAAGCTTCATTTGTAAGTGCTTGAATTTCATGCCTTATGATGTAGCATTTGATTTGCACAGGTGTTGGTGGTTGAGGGCTGTATTGATGTCATGGAACGCTTAATGCTGCTGCCACTCATCCGTCGTGCTGCTTACTTGTACACAAGTGCTCCTGGGAGCTGCTCCCGCTACAAGGTTCAAGATCATATGTCAGGTTAGTATGAAAATTAAATTAGGTTTTTTAGCTAGAATTTGGCTTTTTATTTTTTATACCAAGTAACAGTGATGTACTATACGAAGTTTTATATTTATTGTCATGCTATTTTGATTTCGCTTTTCTAGGTCCATATAGCTTCATATCACTAATATTACTGCCTTTTTCAGAGGATTCTGCGAGGAACTCTGAGGCCAAGCCCGTACTCCCTGCTGAATTCAGTATATCATCAAGCGAGCACAGTATTCAGTTCACCCGAGTTGATATTAGTCATCAATCTGCCGATGAAATCTTAGACTCTCTCTTCGGTACCGCCCCCAATGCCGCTTGCCTGACGCCAGGAACTAGGCATACTCGGGGCATCCAGCCTAACGCCAGTCTCCCCTCGCCACGTGACCTCTCCTTCGGAACACCTGTCAGCTCCAAAGTTTCTGGCAGCCGAGACCTCTGTACATCAAACCTAAAATCGTCCGTCCGCACCCCTCGTGCAAACGCATGCAGAAGCAGAGGTGGTGAAACTCTTTTGTACATAAGGCAGGTCCGTAACGCAGAAAGGCAGTGTTTTCCAGAGTTCTCGTGTATAAATTGATTTAGCAATATAATTTATTTCATATTTTCAAATTGATGAGGTATGGTTTGTTGTAGCTACATTACCTTGCAACTGGTATGCTACTTTTAAGTGACTTCACTGGAAAATAATAGGTAAATTCATTATAATTATATATGAATGATATTATTCCTACCTTTAAGTGTGGTTAATGGAAAGTAGCTTTTTCAATTTTGTAAGATGCCACAATATTGTTTGATCATTCATGTGATTTAAAACGAGATTCAATTGGATTCAAGTTTAAAATTCGTCTAATCTACTAACCTGATTACTAAATTAAACTAAAATATTGTTAGTAACAACGCACGTTCAGGTGATGGTGTGCCAGCTGCGACTGCTGCTCAACACCCGCGACGAGATGGCCTTGGCAGTGAACTGCAGCCTACCCGGCACCGCGCTCTCTCAGGCAGCCTTTGCAGACATCAAGCAGGAGGCGCGCCGCATCAATATGCCCATGTTCCAGGTGACGTTGTTGCCCATGTTCCAGGTGACGCTGTTGCCCATGTTCCAGGTGACGTTGCTGCCCATGTTGCAGGTGATGTTGTTGCCCAAGTTTCATGTGACGTTGCCTATGTTGCAGGTGACGTTGCTGCCCATGTTCCAGGTGACGTTGTTGCCCATGTTCCAGGTGACGCTGGGCAGCAAAAATTGCCATCTCGAAAGGAACTATGCAGAAGCTGCATTATAGCCTTAGTTTTTCAGCCAATAATTGATTGTTTTATTCAATGCTGAGAATTTATGGTAAATTTGTATCATATACAAAGCCAAGCATACTTGCAAGAATGCTCTACAATTTTGTTTTTCGTCAAATCGCACACATGCCGGAAGTTCAGTGGCAGTTCTTTGTTAAAAGACTATAACAAAAAGGTGGACTAGCAATACTTAAATCAATGAAGGGTCTAATACATGAGGGATGCTATTGGTTATGAATTAAATTTGCCATTACAGTTCGATAACATGTAATTTAGAAACTGCCTGAGACATTGAGACTTTAGGTGTTGCTTGTTGTGGGTGAATAAATTGCTTTGTTAACAAGTTCCTACCAGAAATTGATAGAAAACTGAATATTTCAGACGATTTTGTCGGTGGTGCAGAAACGTCGCCTCGGTGGTAGCGGTTACCAGCTACCTAGCAATTCTCAAATCCTGGCCCATGTTGCACCGCTCACCAACTTCGTCGACCACATCAACAAACTCACGACCATCGTCGAGGACGAGTCATGTCCCACGTTAGTTGGGGATCACCGATCCCCAACTCGATCACCCTTGTTTGACTTGCAGTTTACAGATGAACATCTGTGTAGAGTTCGTGCATTAATTACAGACTAATGAGTGACGAACGGCCGTTTCGTGTGCAGTTTGTGCTTTAATTACAGGCTTAATGAGTGACGAACCGTCTTTCTGTGTGCAGTTTGTGCTTTAATTACTGACCAATGAGTGACGAACCGCCTTTTTGTGTACAGTTTGTGCTTTAATTACAGACTTACTGAGTGACGAAAAGCCTCTCTGTGTACAGCTTTCTTCTGTAATTACTGACTAATGAGTGACAAACCGTCTGTCTGCTCCCCACAGTCCGTTCAGTGTTAGAGTACAGAGAAGTATTGTTATCAGTATTCGATGAGAATACCATATTAATCCTTATTCCAAAATACAAACTGAGTTCATTATATGTTCATAAGAAAATCATTTTAATAGTTTAATGCAAAATTATGTTTTCAAAATTTTCTAACAGTTTTGCTTTCCTCCACAGTACCGCCGCAAACAAAATCTTGACCAGCATCAAGCGATACGTGGTTCAACAATGCACAGGAGTCCACTCCAAAAAATGCCCTATCAAAGTTTCTACGATCGAGGCTGTCCATAAAAATCTCCTGGAAACGTTGGACTCTTGTCTCTCTACACCGGCCTTAATTACTGAAAATAAAACCAATCCGTGCAATGCAGGAAAACAAGCGGGCTTGCCATACCCTGTACTGGGGCTTCTGCAGCGACTGTGCGACCGATGCACAGGGGAATGCAGCACAGCGGATGACGGCGCCGTGGCTCTCGTCTCCGCCTGTGCGGATACCAACGATATTGTTCTCACTCAAGCCAGTGGAAGCCCACGCCTGGTTTACACGCCCCTACGCGTACCATCGTTGTTATCCTTGTACAGAACTCCTCCTCCCTGTCAAGATGATCCTGAAGACGTTATTGTAGAAGAAAAGCTCTCTGTCCGTTACATGAAAAGAAACAAGGCAACGCCCGCTCGCAGCAAGAGGCATCAGTCGTGTTTAGCGTGGGCGCCAGATAATTTATCTCCATTGCAGGTGATAGCGTCACCCGTGCCTCTGAGCCAAAGCGGTGTTGGCTCTCTGGCTCAATCGAGGATTTCGTCCCATGATGTGTTAGAAATGATCGCTGATCTGCCTGACAGCAGCCTCGCCAAAGGCGACATGGATGCCAAGGAACGTCTTAAAAACATCCCGAAATGTTCCAATAATAAACAGGCTCCGGCTGTTAAGCGTTCTAGTAAGCGGTCGCTGTTGAGTGACATGTCTGGTATTGCCAAAGATGCTGAGAAAAATAAAAAATCAAAAATTGATTCGGGTCCAGTTAGTGCAAAACGAAATAAAAATTCTCAGCAATTACCATCGTGTCAGAAATCGATTACTTCATTTTTCAAATCTAAGTGATACGTTTCGTGATAATTTATAATTTAGAATGCCTGATAGATTGATAGAACTCGTTTTACGATGCTTCTGCTCAATTGTATTTATTTATTTTTTTTTTCCTCGAGACATTTCCCAAGTGCTTAATCCAGCCGCGGCTAGGGCTGCTCTAACTATATGATTAGATAAATTTATCAGCTTATGCTGTATCGCGTCATAGAGCATCCGCGACCGTCGTGACTAAACGATCCGCAGTCTTCGCCAAAGTTGTCCTCGTATTGCGTTAGCTTCCGGTTTGCTAATTGCTCTAGATTAAGCTTTGTCTATATTCGAGTGGGCCTTTTTTTTAACCAAAATTGCAGTTAATCTAACCTTCAGAGTTATTGTTTTAATGAGATTTAAATATTTTCTTCTTCATTTTTCTTTTCAATATGATTAAATTTATCTAAATTGTCTCGTCATTGGCTAATGAAATAATGCATAATTTTCATTGTTGTGTACTGAATAAATACTATTACTATTTTAGGCCTAAACGTCACACATTTTTTCGGGTTGAATTTAGGTTGCAAAAATCTCAATTACACGGTGAGAACTAATAATATTTTCCAGTTTTTTTTAACCGTCATATTAAGTTTACATCCCTAGCAGCGTCGATGTTGGTCATCCTCGCGACCTACACCCTATGCTCAAAAATTTTTTCATTAATAATTCGATCGTTATTATAAATGAGAAGACATTGATACTGACGTTAAATATACATACAATAAAATTATTTCCAAAGTTTCTGGCATGTTTTTTTCTCTCCTACGTTCAATCAGTGACGAAAAAGCAAATTAGCTCTGAAATTTCCCCTTGTCTTGCAGATCATTCTGGACGATGAGCGATTTTTTCAGTAGAGAATTTGTTGAGTTACGGAAAGTGGCATGAAAAGAACCCCAACGGAAGATCAATTTACCGAAATAGGCCAGTTCGTTTGTCGAGTCAATGCAGTGCTTAAATTCATTTGAATTGCTATTCTTCGCTTTTGTTCCGGATGATTCGACTGCCTGTTCATTTTCACATCTTTTCTGTACTTGTTTCCGAAAAAAGCCTCACTTTTGTAGCTATGTCGCACTCGCGCAGGGCGATTTTTAGTCCTTTTTTCGGTCAGGGCATATTTTTACCCGATTCAATCTGTCACAGACATCTTATGTATGCGAGGGCTTATTTCCGTTTATTGATACGTGGCTGAACGTTGAAACAGCGTGATTCGCTAGAACGCCAACAGAGGATGTGTGGTATCTGACTGCTGGTCTCATTTTTGTGGGTAAATATGTCAAAGATTCCTGTCGATCAACGATTTTTGCCTATTCTGTCTCGCGCCCGAGGGCCGGACTTTCCTCGTAAGCGATCTATGAAACGAGTGTCGTAGTTTGCTGTTGCTGTTTACAAACTGTTGCTGTATACACGTCTCTCCTTCGTTATCTCTTCGAGATGCAAACGTAAGCAAGGTGTGTTGAGATCTTCCGTCCGTTGCAAGCTAGGCTATGTCCGGCCTTAGGAAGTGATCAGCTTTTTGATCACTATCTATTGGCTCTCGGTGCGAGATAGATTCTTTCTTTTCGATGTGCTAGTGAACATTTGGGCAGTTCTTAACAAGACAAACTTCTTATTTTTTACACAGTATATTGACAGGAATCATATCAGGGAACCGGCTATAGTCCTCACTGACAAGTTCAATCGTGTAGTATGGCAAATGTACTTAATATAAAATACTTAAAAAAAACTTTTTAAAAAACCACGTTTTTCTTGTGGACTAAAAAGTAGAAAATAAATTATGGTTCGCCCCAAAAAAACGTGTGTCGGGCAGATTTACGATTAAAGCGAAAAAAAAAACAACACTTAAATTTTGGAAATTTTATGGTGAACGTACAGCCCGATCCACGTTTTTTTTGGGGCGAACCATAATTTATTTTCTACTTTTTAGTCCACAAGAAAAACGTGGTTTTTTAAAAAGTTTTTTTTAAGCATTTTATTTTCTACTTTTTAGTCCACAAGAAAAACGATTAAGACTTGATTAAGTATGACTTGACGTACGTATCGATGATACGCAGCGTCTCTGCCTGCTCGTCTATAACGTCAGCGCCCGCACGTCATACTATATATATACTATATATAAATATACTTTACTCAATTAAACTAATTTCGGTCTCTAATTACTATTTTTTATGATTGTATCTGAAATTGTTAGGCGAAAATAGCCTGCATGCCGAATTTCAGATCTCTAGAGCAATCAGAAGTGGGCTAATTTTCGTTGTCAATGTTAACAACAAACAAACAAACAAACAAACGCGAAGCTAAGCTAAGAAAAACGTGTTAATAAATCATTTTGTCCGTTGTACATTATTGAATGCCATAATCAGTAATGTTTTACAATATAACTTTTCAACCATGCCCAGATTGGATAAAATACAGTTGGACTTAGGCGTCAGATTTTTCTGTTTTCGATTAATTACTTTTGAAAATACGTTTCTTACTATCTAGAGCGCGAGTTCTGAGTAGTTCTCCCGTTACAGCTCGGCTGGGGAAACTTTTTTTTTACATATAATAAATCTACGCTCTGCACATTGTCGGGAGAGCACGGCAATCATAGTGGCTGCTAGACATCGGGCCTATCAATTCTTCATCCATCCTTCTCTCTACAATTCTTCGTCCATCCTTCTCTATACATTTTTTCTACTTGGATAGTTCTTTGTATTCAACGCAATTAATAATAAAATATAATCGTGCATTTATCTGATCGGAAGTCTCATAGAGTAGCAAAGCTCAGTATATTTTCTAATTCAAAGTCGCTCTATTATCACAAATTAAAATAATTTTTGACCGATCTGAAATAAAATGTCAAAAATTTTTGTTATTCATTCAACAGACTAGACCAGTGGTTCCCAAACTTTTTCAGGCTGGCGCCCCCTTTGGCTCCCTAGGGAATTTCTAGCGCCCCCCACAGACATATAAAAACATACGCCTCTTTCTTGAAATTTAGTGCGCTGCAATTTCAAAAGATAAGGTTAAACACAAATGTGTATTTCACAAATAGAACCCCATTTAGTGAACCAATATGTTTTAAGCTGTTTCAAGTTTTAACTGTTTCAGCACTTGAAACCTCGGACGTCTCGGGCAAATTTACTACCGGACTCGTGGCCGGTCCCACGACCAATGTCCAAACTTAATTATCAAGTAATATCTCCCAAACTAATGAACGCAGCTCAATAAAACTTGGAACATGTATTCATCAGAACCTAACGGTCATTTTTAGCTCGTAAAAATTTTAAATTTTTACCTTCATTCGTGAGTTATATTGCGATAAAGGCCGAAATTCGCAGTGATCAAAGAATTTCTTCCAAAATACAGAATAGATTTGAACGAAATTTGAATATACATTCCTAACTACCTAACGGTGATTTTTCCCTTCTAAAAAATTTTTCGATTTTTCCTTCGTTTGCGAGTTTTTTTTTTCATTTCACCGTCATTCTTGATTTCACACTTCCTTATATTCAGCCCGTATCGTCGGATAATTTGTAGCTTGAATTCTCGGCGATCAAGATATTTCTTCTAAACTACTGAACAGATTTCAACGAAGCATTGTATATAAATACCTAACCTACCAACGGTGATGTTTAGCTCGTGACAATTCTTCAATTTTGCTTTCGTTCGCGAGTTATACAGATATAGGAGGAACGACCGGCTTTTCTACCGGCCGGTTTAACCAAGAGCCGTTTACGTAAAGCCGTATAACTCGCAAACGAAGGCAAAAGGAAAACATTGTAGCGAGCTAAACATCACCGTTGCTGAGGTTAGGTATTTAAATACCAAGTTTCATTCAAATCTATTCAGTAGTTTTGGAAGAAATTTCTTGATTACTGCGAATTTAAGCACGTATTGCTGTTCAAATCGCGAATGAAGGTGAAATGAGAAAAATAACTCGCGAACAAAGGCATAATCGAATAAATTTTCACGAGCTAAACATTACTGTTCGGTAGTTAGGACTGTAAATTCAAAATTTCGTTCGAATCTGTTCAATAGTTTGGAAGAAATTACTTGATCACTGAATTTCAGCCCGCATTGCCATGTAACTATGGCAAAAACAAATGAAGGCAAAAAAAAAAAAATTACCAGCTAAAAATTACCGTTAGGTCCTACTGAATACGTACACCAAGTTTCATCGAGTTAAGTTCATTAGTTTGAGAGATATTCCTTGATCATTGAATTTGGAAATTGGCCACGTGAGACCGGCCGCGAGTCCGACCGTTAATTTGTCCGAGACGTAAACCCAGGAGAGGTTAGAAAAACAGATCTGGGTGAAAAAACCATCGCTGGGCGTCATGATGTGCTGCACGTGTAGGGTACAAATCGTCAACCAAACGTTGGAACTTCTGACTTTGACTTCGGACTGCCGCCCCCCTACCGCCCCCCAAGCGCCCTCTTCTTCCTTACCGCCCCCCAAAATCTTTCCACCGCCCCTAGGGGGGCGATATCGCCCACTTTGGGAACCACTGGACTAGACGAAGCTATGCACAGATGCATATGTTCAGTCTTAAAATGCCTAGCATCTTGCGGACCAGCAAGCAGTAAGTCCAGCAGCTATCCCAATCAATCGTCAGTTATGGAAAGATCGGGTTCCAAAGACCGGATCCCTTGTGAATCGTCACGAAAAGTACAAGAATCGGCAACAGGCCATGGGCCTATTTCTTCAGTGCCCACACTACTATTCTATTCATTCCTGTATGCTAATAAAAAAGAAACGGATAGCTGATGATCGATCAAAATCCTACAAGATATGATGAAGATCCTTGTCGTTCACCTGAAGGAAATCAGCAATAGTCGTCGAAGGAAACGACTTGCCTGCACGGTCTCGATCCATGGCCAGGTTGCGCAACGCCAATTAGGTTGTCTTTTCCTCGCTGCCTCGTTGCGATCGGAAGATTTCCGTAGCTCCTGAGCTACTCGGGACTATTTTTTGTGACTCATTCTGCCATATGTTGCAATTTGTCAACTAACAACCGTTTGTGGGAATATTATTAGTAACAAATGTTTCCTCTCCTCTGTGTTCAGCTATTTATGGATGAGCGGCCTGATAATTTTTCGAAATACTTCCATGTCAGGATGTACATGTGCGGGTTCCCATAGGAACGATTGAAGAATGCATATAAAATTAGAACTTTATGGAATGAACTTGCCTAATATTTATTTTTCTCTCGGTTTCACGTAATGGTTGAGTTTCAGGAAGCTTCATTGTCAGTTTATATATTTATATATATTTGGTTAGCAAATGCTGAAAATAGTTAACTAGAATTTGCTTTTAGTTGCGGGTACAAAATTATGATTCTCTCTTCATGCACGACCACCTGAAACCAGAGAAGTGGGAATAAAATAGTAATTTCGTGCAAAATCT